CACTGTCAGAAAGAATTCTATAACCCAATAAGAAAATGTGTAATAGCCAATGATATCCACACTGTCAGAAAGAATTCTATAACCCAATAAGAAAAAAAAACCTATAAAATGTATAACCAATAGAAATTACTAAAATTTTACAGAGGAGGAAATATAAATGGTCAGCAAATATACCAATAAAACTACATCTCATTAGCAATCCTTAAAATTAAAATCTAATTAGACATTAAAAACTCTAAGAAATCTATCCAAGTAAAACAACAGTTCCCCCTAGAACAAATAAATAAGTTTAACAAACTTCAGGATACAATATCAACATATGAAAAATAAACTTATGTTTAACTATTATCAATGAGCAATTACGAGATTAAGTTTTTTAAACAGCAGTACCATTTAAAATAAAATACATAGACAAAAAATATAACAAAATGTATATACCTATAATATGCCAAAAATTACAAAACATTGATAATAGACATTAAAGACTATCTTTGACATACCATGAGAGACATACTATGTTCATAGACTGGAAGATTCATTGTAAAATCTCATTACTGACCTAAAGCTTAAACACAATAAAAAAAATCCCAATCGATAGAGTGTACAGAAGTTGATTCTAAAATTTCTGAAGAAAGTCAACAAAACCAGGGATAGTTGTCAGTAAGGGGAACTACCTCTGTAGAAATGTGTGGCACATGCACTGACAACTCTATCTATCTATCTATTTGATTGTGGAGCTTGAACCCAGGGCCTGCTCGATCTCCTTGAGCACTCAAGGCTAGAGCTCTACCCCATTGAGCCACAGCTCCACTTCTGGTTTTTGATTAGTTAATTGGAAAAGAAGAGTCTCATGGAGTTTCTTGCCTATGCTGGCTTCAAACCATGAGGCTTCTCAGTCTCCTGAGTAGCTAGGATTATAGGTGTGAGCCACCAGCGCCCAGTGACAACTCTTGTTTACTCTAGTTTTATAGAAATGTTTAAAATCTCCAAGTCACGAACACGGGAGTCATCTTTGAGTCCTCCCAGCATCATCAAAACTTTCCAGTCATCTTACAATTGACAGCTCTACTTTTTTCAATAACTTTTCTGGCAATACTGAGATCTGAACTCAGGGCCTCACACTTTGTGTTTTGCTTACTCAGCTGTACTCTGAGCAATGCCGCAGGCCCAGCTTCTTATTGGTCATTTTGTAGATGGAGTGAGGACTTTTCTGTAATGGCTACATTGAACTGTAATCCTTTAGGTTTTAGGCTCCCGAGTAGCTAGGATTATAGGTAGAAGCTCTCAGCACCTGGCTCAAAATTATTCTATTGCTATATAACAGATGAATGAAATAGAGTACTATCATTATCCTCAGTTGCTTTTGTTACCTCAGGGTCAAGCCTACACATCTCTCCCCCCAGATGAGTCATTCTAAACAGGGTTGGGCAAGGTGGGTTCTGAAGGAATTTGGGAGAGGAAAACAAATTCAGATTCTGTACCTTTGAATATAAGGAGGTTGGGGGGCAGGCAGGTCCAGGCCTGGAGTAAGCCAAGGGAGGTGCCTAGAGTGAAGTTTATGAGACATTCTCAGTCATAAAAGTGCTGAGTGAGCCCCTGCAAAGGGACTTCCAAGAAAAGACAGCTTGTGAGCAGCTGCACCTGTGGGGTTGAGGGCCACAAAAAGACCAAGTGTCCAGGAATCGAACTAAACTAAAGTAAACTAACTAGCAGATGGTAGGTCTGTTTTAAAGAGTCAATCTGGCTGGGTGCTAGTGTCTCATGCTTACAACCTTAGCTACTCAAGAGGCTGAGATCTAAGGATCGTGATTCAAAGCCAGCCTGGGCAGGAAAGTCTGTGAGGGTCTTATCTCCAATGAACCACCAAAAATCTGGAAGTGGAGCTGTGACTTTAATGGTAGAATGTTTACCTTGAGCACAGAAGCTCAGGGACAGTGCCCAGGCACTGAGTTCAAGCCTGCCTCAGACTGGCACAAAAAATAAAAAAGAGAGTCAATCAGAACTCGTTCTGGCTGGGGCAATGGGTACACTGTGGCCAGAGCAGTGGATTTTTCCAGAAGTTTCCCCAGTTGGGGTACTTTCCATGTTTTAAATTTAGCCACTGATTCAGAATCCTCCTCCTCCTCTACCTCCTCTCTTCCCGCCCCTCCTCTCCCCAACTCTTCCTCCTCCTATTCTTCTTCGTCTTCATCTTTGTCTTCTTGGTCGTCATCTTCATCGTCATCCTTGTCTCCTCCTCCTGCTCTTCCTCATCCTCCTGTTCTTCCTCCTCCTCTATAATATCAACCCTGCTTAGGCTAAGAAGATACAGCCAAACTTGGCTGAAAGCCCCTCCCATTAGCACATCTGTGTCAGCCCCTTGAATTTCCCATCAAGATCCCACTTGACTGTGATTCAAAGTCAACCACTCAAAGTCAACCACATTGCTCCTTTTCCATCTTCATTGTTCTAACTTCAGCTGAATTTTTGGGTTTTTGTGTGTGTATGTGTGTGTTTTTGGTCGGTCGTGGGGCTTGAACTCTGGGCCTGAGCGCTGTCCCTGCACTCTTCAGCATAAGGCAAGCACTCTACCGCTTGAGGCACAGCACCACTTCCAGTTTTCTAGTGGTTTATTGGAGATAAGAGTCTCACAGACTTTCCTGCCCGGGCTTGCTTTGAATCTCAATCCTCAGATCTCAGCCTCCTGAGTAGCTAGGATTACAGGCGTGAGCCACCGGCGCCCAGCTCAGCTGAATTTTTAACCAGAGGCAAAGGAGAAAAGAGATGCCCACAAAGGTAAATGTACTGTACACAAGAAAACGAAGGCCTCATTTTCTGCTGTTCTCTTTCAGGTGTTCGGGTTCTGGGTCTGGATCCTGGTGGCTGCCACTCAGGTAGCAAACCCACTGCTGCAAGGCTGGGTGATGTATGTGTCACTCACCTCTTTCCTCATCTCCCTGATGTTCCTCTTGTCATACTTGTTTGGATTTTACAAAAGATTTGAGTCCTGGAGAGTCCTGGTAAGAACCATACAGGCTGGGAACGTGGCTTTGTGGTAGAGTGCTTGCCTAGCGTACACGAAACCCTAGGTTCGATTCCTTCATACCACATACACAGAAAAAGCCATAAGTGGTGCTGTGGCTCAAGTGGTAGAGTGCCAGCCTTGAGCAAAAGAAGCTCAGGGACAGTGCCCAGGTCCTGAGTTCAAGTCCCAGGACTAGGGGGAAAAATAACAAAACAGAGTAGTGGCTTCCCCCAGATGCTGGGTATTGAGGGGACAATGGGCCCTCACTGGTGGAGAGGAAGAACAGGAGCCCAGGAACTCACCCAGGCTAGACCCTATGCAGCCAAGGCTTTTGATTTTTAGTATGTCGATTATTAAGCCAACATGAAAATATTTCTCTGCAAGAGCAATTCTTCCCTATACGCTTTTCTATTGTCTTCCCTGTTAGGAATATACAAACCTTCTTGTTCTTCCCTATACTCTTTTCTACTGTCTTCCCTGTTAGGAATATACAAACCTTCTTGAAACGAAGAAAATTCTGAAGTTGCTGTAGTAACGCACACCTGTGTGCTTCTAGACACAAGGGAGACGGAGGCAGGAGGGTTGCTTGGGCTCAGGCGTTCTGGGCCAGCTTGGACCACAAAGCAAGAGTCTTCTTTCTTACTCAAAAATAAGAAAACAAACAAAAAAAACCCAAAAGGAATATTCTACTGTTCTTCTGAAATTTTATTCGTAGCAAAGTAAATCATTGGAGCAACGTTAGTAGAAAAAAAATAATCCCATCAATGGGAAGTTTTGCCACAGTCACTGATAAGTTCATTTTTTTTCAAAAAACATTATTTTATTGCAAAGATGCTGTACAGAGGGGTTACAGTACATGAGTAAGGTAATGAGTACAATTCTTGTTGAACATTGTTACCCCCTCCTTTGTTTTTCTTCTACTATCCCTTCCCTCCCCCCCCTGCTACACTCCTCCCCCTCCCAAAGTTGTAAAGATGGTTTCCAACATAGTGTCTCTCGTCATTGTTGCAATGGGTCATCCTGTGTCCTTGTTTCATGATAAGCTCATTTTTCTACACACCACATAAATCTTATGCAATAAAATGCAAATTACATGGAACAAATTTGCTTTTATTTAACATAACACCATGAATTTTTTCAGGTCATCATATCACCTTGTTAAGCATATCAAAGTGTTTTATGCTGCTACGCACTCATGGCTCACACCTGTAATCCTAGCTACTCAGGATCTGAGGATCACAGTTCAAAGCTGTATCTCCAATTAACCACCAAAACCAAAACAAAAAAAAAAACTGGAAATGGAGTTATGGCTCATCCTTGAAGTTAAAAGCTAAGAGACAACACCTAGACTCTGAGTTCAAGCCCCACAACACACACACACACACACACACACACACACACACAGAATTCAAGTCTGGAAGTGGATGAGCCTCACTCCCCATCTCATCTATACATTGAAACTAATAATGGCACCATTATGAAGTCAGCTCTTGAAAATTAAATAAGATGTGTGTATTGTAAGGATAGTGCACAGCACAGAGTAGGACTTCATAAAAAACTAATGGTTAAAAACCTAGGCTTAGAGCACTGGTGGCTCACAACTGTAATCCTAGCTACTAAGGAGGCTGAGTAGCCTGATGGTTCAAAGCCAGCACCAGCAGACAAATCCAATAGACTCTTACATCCAGTTAACCAACAAAAATCCAGGAGTGTGTCACCCTTGAGTGTCACCTCTGAGTGAAAAAGCCAAGCAAGAGTACAAGTCTCTGAGTTCAAGCTTCAGTACTGGCACTGGTGTGTGTATGTGTGTGTGTGTGTGTGTGTGTACGTGCACGTGCGCGCACACACACACACACACATACACAAAGATCATAGGATTTGACCTCATGACCTGGGTGCAACTTCTACCTTGCCCATTTAGTCACTGGCTGTAATCTCGAACTTTATTTTCTCAAATTAAGACTAGTAATAAATGCAACTGTAACAGTTGACATGAAATAAAAAAGTCTTGACACAAAGCTTGGCATAGAATAAGCCCTCAGTATCTGGGGCCGTACCTCATATGGTAGACTGCCTACCTAGCAAATCCCCACTACCTCCTCCAACCAAAACGTTCAAATAGCAATCAGCAAATGTTAATGTGTATTGATATTATTGCTATTTATCAATCCACTATATTGCTGCTACATAAATATTTCATTCTAAACACTGGGAAAGAAGAGCAGAAGCTGGATTTGGAGGTTGCTTCTTTCCCCATTCTTGGAGTAATGGTGGCTGCTCTGCTCTTGGTCCCCAGGACAGCCTCTACCACGGGACCACGGGCATCCTGTACATGAGTGCTGCTGTCCTGCAAGTACACGCCACAATCGTTTCTGAACACGAGGACCTGAAAAACTACTACATCAACACAGCAGCCTCGGTGGGTGAGCAGGGACAGCCACAGTTGTAGCTAAAAGACATGTTTTATATGAGGTTTCATTCTGCCCAGTGCAATGCACACTGCCCTGAGTCCTCAAGCTGCAAGGTGTGGAGGAGGGGGCCAGTGTGTGTGTGTGTGTGTGTGTGTGTGTGTGTGTGTGTGTAAATGCATGTGTCCAAAGCCAAGCCTATCTCTTGCCTCCTGTTTATCCAAACTAGCCTGGTTCTCTCTTACATTCAGTGTTCAGAATTACTTTTTTTCTTCAAAACACAAATTGGAGCACACCTCCCTCCCACAGAGAGTCCTTCAATGGCTTCCACTGCTCTGAAAGGGACTCAACTGTTCTGTTTCTTTTATTTCAGTGACAGACATTCATGGGGGTGACGGTGTTAGCTGACAGAAGCAAAAGCAAGGTCCCACTGAACAATGAGAAGAACAGGATTCTAGGGCTTTGGTCCACGGAGGCCCTGCTGGGCCCTGGCACTTTCTCCTGCTGTGGAATGGCGCCCTCTGGTGACAACAAGCACACAGTAGCAGAGGGCGCCTCAGCAGGCCCTGACCTTCATTAGCCCTTGAAGAAAACTTCCAAGGCAGGACTCTGAATACATAGACTTGCTCATTCATGCCCAGCTTTAGCTGGGATGCCTGCATCTCAGGATCAGAGTGGCCTCATGCTTGTTCTGCTCTTCCTCAAGTGATATCTCATAACCAAGGCCTTTCTAGATGGCCTACCTCAGCATTCCCATTACCCTCCAACTGCTGACCTTGCTTGTGTTCTGCCTCCTGTTGTTAAAATGCAAGTTCTGTGAGGCAGGATTTTTTTTCCTTTCCTTTTTTGAGACAAAGTCCCACTGTGTAGTCCAAGCTGGTTTACATAGTGCCTCAGCCTCCCCAGTGCTAAGATTCCAGGCATGTACCACCATACCTGGCAGAAAGGCAGAAAGTTTTAAATCTCTTTCAACTGTTAAAGCAATAGTTCTTGGTGGTTTGGGGATTTTTGTTTGCTTTTGTTCTACTGGTACTGTTTTTTTTTTTTTGGTCCGGTTGTGGGGCCTGAACTCTGGGCCTGGGCACTGTCCCTCAGCTCTTCAGCTCAAGGCTAGCACTCTACCACTTGAGCCACAGCACCACTTCCGGCTTTTTCTGCTTATGTGGTGCTGAGGAATGGAACCCAGGGCCTCAGGCATGCAAGGCAAGCGCTCTACCACTGAGCCACCTTCCCAGCCCCTGGTACTGGGTTTTAACTCAGGGCCTTGTACTTGCTAGATAGGCACTCTACCACTCTAGCCATGCCCCAGCCTTCTGTACTTTAGGCTATTTTTCACACTTGATCTCTCACTTTTGCCTAGTTCAGACTCAGACCTGAACTCCTCCTCTCTATGCTTCTCCTGTAGCACAGATTACAGAGTGAATTATCTATATTAAGTTTATTTGTTGATATGGAGTCCCACTAACTTTTGCCCCAGCTGTCCTCAATCTTCAGTTCTTCTGCTCTCCACCTTCTGAGTAGCTGGAATTATAGGAGTGAACCACTACACCTGGTGCAATAATTATTCTTAAAGGATAGCAGGTGCTTAAAAGATACTGGATGGATGGATGGATGGATGGATGGATGGATGGATGGAGAATGTGAATGATGGATGGATGGATGGAGAATGTGAATGCCAGCCAGGGTGGAAGACATGTCACAGGTGATGACCTCTGCCCTTAGAGGAGAGAAGAGCCATGGCTTGGCCATGGTATGAGGTATGGTGGGAGGAGCAGAGGGGTTGCAGGCTTCTGGCATGGTAGTTGGGTAAGATGAGAATCCTGGGGCCTGCTGAGCTTGGAGGCTTGAGAAGGATGTGGACTGAGAATGCAGGGGATAAGCATTTCCAGGAGAGTACAGTAGCTGACCAATTATCTGCCTAGGCAGAGGACACAGAGGCAGGGTCAAGCCAGACAGACTCCTATAGGCTGGGGCCACTTGGGTAGAACAGACACTGGCACTAACCCTCCCTGACACTATCATCTTCTTCCAGTTCTTTGCATTCATCACTACCCTGCTCTACATTCTCCACGCCTTCAGCATCTACTACCACTGAAGCCTGGGTGGCGCCAGTGAGAAAGCCCGGGTCATCCCCTCCCCCAACGCAGGTTTTATCAGGAGCCATCTGCATGACCAACAGACCTCCACTGGAACGCGGGCGCCGCAGACCATCTTTCTGGACTATTCAATGAGATCTGCTTTGACAACTTCCTTCAGTGAACACAAGAATCCTGTCTTCTTTTATTTCCTGGGAAAGTGTGTGTCTCTCGGACTTTTCTGACCATGAGCCTAGCGCTTCTAGAAGTCGAACCTCCAAACCACAGTAGAGAATCCCAGCTTTGCTGTTGCTGCACCTGTCCAGGGATTTCGCCCCAGCACTGGAGCTCTCTGGCGTAGGGTGAGGGGACAGTTGGGTCTTTTCTTCTAATTTTTTCATTTTGATAAATATTATTTTATACATGATCAGAGGCACATAGGTATTGTGCCTTTGTGTGCTTCCTCTAAGGAGTCTTATTTTCTTATAGTTGAAAGGCACCATGGAGGACTTTGTATCTAATGTTCTGAGCCCTCCTAACCTGCCCCTAACCCTCGCATTAGTATCCAAGGGAAATCTACATAAGCCAACTTTTCTATGGGTTTTGCAAGATGATTATTCAATAAGCCATGTGGGAGATGAGAGGGGAGGGAGGAGAGTAGCCTGTAGCTGCTGCTGTGTGAAAACCATAGCTGCAGTGCACCTGCATCAGGTGTCCAAGACCCATCTCCTAAGGGCTAAATACCAGACCCTGCCTTGACCCCCCCCCTCAGAGAAGAGACCCCAGTGCAAAAGGGAAGGGTCCTCTTCTGTGGCTCCTGCCAGGGCCATATGGGAAGAATAAGCTGCCCCACTATCTCAGGGGCAACAAAGCACTCCTTCCCTGGGACCATGTTTTTCTGCATGCATCCTGGGGACTCCTTGGGTGAGGCCAAAGATCAACAGGGCTCCTCAGGATCTGACAAGGAAATGCTTTTGCATTTGGAGGCCATTCTGCAAGAAAGCACGGCCTTGTACACAGAGAAAAGCCAAACCAAGGTGCTTAATTTCAAAGGAAACATCCTTCCACGGCCAGCTGCACACTCTGGCCTCCCTCCTCCACCTGGGTCCCCAGGCCCAGCAGGCAGGGATCCAGCCCTGCGACACCCGTGCCTGCTCCTGCTTTGAAATAAATTATTGTGTGAAAGGGACTGGTCTTCCTGATTCTAGGTTTACTGTTCTCTATCAACTTTTCTCCACTCCTGGGCAAGGGGGGGGGGCGTGTGGGAAGTTGGACATCCTTCAGGAGTTACCTAGGAGAAGACTCCATTACTTCACCATTGTTTACTAGTCCGTTTCTCATTGCCCTGATGTCATAACAAGCCACCGTTTATCTCTCCTTTTGTTATCTGGCAGCTGTCTATGATGGTCACTGCTCAACATTTACTGAGTGGCCACATGCAAATAAAAGTCTTTTGTACCACAGGGACTGCCTAATCGGTTGCTTTCATACTGTTGGCATGGCACCTCACGCTAGGTGCGGGCATCAGTGTTACCAGCACCACCCTTAGAAGGGTTTTTAGCCCTGAAGCCTGAGTTCCATGTGGGCAGGAATACAACCTTGCTTCTAAGGTGGCAGCCGGGAGAAGCTCTGTGTGCCTTTGGTGCTGGCTTTGTAGTGTTAGTATTTGGGGGCAGATTCCCAAAATCAAACTCACAACAGCTAACATTGCCAAGGCTGGGAGAGGAAGAGGGGTGGCTGAGCGCTTGCACGGGTCTCAGCCTCTCATGCTGCTCCCTCCACCTCCTAGGCCCTGAGAATCACCAGCCCCCATCCACTGCACAAGCCCCTCACCTGAGTCAGACATCCCAAATTCACTGCTGCTTCCTCCCAGGCCCCCTCAGCGGCTTCCCCCACAAGGGGACGCTATAACACGGAAACCCCAAGGGTTTCCAACACCCAAGTCCTGTGTAATGATTGATTGGCTTTGGGGAAAAGGAAGACTAAGACATTCCCCAGCATCCTTGAGAACCTCATGTGTGCTGGGTACTGGGGACATTGTGAGCTGGGATGCAGGATCCATGAGCCACACCCAGTGGTCTGTACCAAACAAGCCACCTGCAGGTTCCAATCAGCCTCAGCCAGGGCAGCCAGTGACTCTTGAACCAATAACCAGGCTATATGATCTTTATAAAATAGGAGAAATGTATTAAAATTTGAAAGGTGACCTTCTAATCTCCACGACTGGCATTAGGTCTAAAAATACCCCAACCCACAGAATGTTGGTCCCCCATCTCTTGCCCCCAAATCTGACCTTCCCGTCAGAAACATCACATCTCAGCAAAAACTTAGACACTTAGATGTGGAGGGTCATGTGCATGCCCTTGTTCAAAGGATGGAGCAGGAGGAAGGTCTCACCGATTTCTCACCAGTGTACAGAGCTCAGATCCCAAGCTGGGATCATCTCTGGTGGATCATCCACCCCCAATCTAGCCAGATTCACGGCACAACACCTTCCCATAACCTCCTGAGATTCATGACTGGCAGGTGTGAGGATGTTTGCATGATGCTGGACCACACAGCTCAGCGGCTTGACTGCTGTGAACATTTACTGACTGGGTGGCCCAGGGCCACATTGGGTTGGGGTTTATCCCAATTTACAAGCATGGGATGGGCTTCTAAACCCCTCTGTCTCCCATGGGCAGATGGGATTTTTTAAAAGCAGGAATGTTGGAGTCAGCAGCAAACAAAACAAGACAAAACAAAACAAAAACCTTGTGGTGAGTCAGATCCTGCCAAGGGCTCCCAGAAGCACAGAATTTTCTATACCCACATCTAGAGCCTCCCTTCCCTGGAAGGCCACGCAATCTGACTCTGTCTCTTATTCACCTCTTTGACTCTTTCTGCATTTCTGAGTCCTACCATGGAGCCCGCCATGGTCCAACCTGCCCTAATGCCTTAGACTGTACTTTCCTGGAGCTCTGTGGGTATCTCTGGCCATCTGTCCTCTCTCTGAAATGCCTTGCCTGTCACACACCCCAGGAGTTCCAACCCCACTCCTCAACCCTGCCTGCCTTGCTTCCAACCTTACCTCTGTCCAGTTGTCCCCACCCCTGCTGGGCCCAGTGTTAACTCCCCTTTTTCCCCCCAACATCTCTCTGTTACAGACACTACACAGAGGTCTCACATTCTCTCTGCATGAAGGAGAGCCTGTCCAAAATTCACATCCAGAAAGCAGATCATCCAGACTCAAGTCAAAGCTAACCCCCAAACCTCCCCCCTGTTTCTCCACAGTTTTCTGGTCTCAACTCTTAGCTGAAAGGAAAACCCTTCAAAGCCAGAGTTTTCAAAGCACAAGAAACAAAATATGTCTCTAAACCTATAGAGCATTGTATTGAGAACTCCCCAATTCCCCCAGATCACACAGTCTTTGGCACCCAGCAGTCTGTGCTCTGGGTTGATCAATTAATTAAATGTCTGGTTTTATGCCCTGGCTTTGATTCTGTGTGTGTGTGTGTGTGTGTGTGTGTGTGTGTGTGTGTGTGAGAGAGAGAGAGAGAGAGAGAGAGAGAGAGAGAGAGAGAGAGAGAGAGAGAGAGAGTGCGCAAGGGGAAAGAACACAAGTTTATGGTTTTAAAGTATCTAGGATTTCTGTGACACTCACTTCTGATTATTTTGCTAACACAATATAAAATGACCAAAGGCAGCTTTGTGCCCAGCTCCCCCCCCTTGTAGCTGGGCTCAATTCTGAATTCTGACAACGGAGAGAAACTGAGACTCGTTGGGCTAGCATTGAACCTTGGTCTTCAGATCTCAGCCTTCTGCGTAGCTAGGATTACAGGCATGAGCCACTAGTGACTGGCAGGATATGTTCTTGTAAGAGAAGGAAGAAAGCTCTGTGGGTCCTGTGGGAAGTGGGGGCAGGGTTCTGCAAGAAGGCAAGCTTGAACATGAACTTCTGGCCTCCAGAGCTGTAAGCCATAAATATCGGTGGTTTAAACAACCTCTTCTATAATGTTTTATGACAAGAACTTGGACAGGGGCAGGAGGTTTATACAAAGGTGCACTGAGAGAGGAAAGATGTGTGTGCACTAGGATGACAGTCTATGAAGTCCTTACTGACTTGCAAGTCCAAGGTGGTGAGATCCCACAGACGAGGTTCTTCTGCACTGACAGGAAACAGCCCTCCATGAAAACCATGGGATACTTTGACTTCTGACTTAAGACTTTTTTTAGTCAGAGTCTTTTCATGTATTATAGGCTGGCCTCAAACTCATAATCCTCCTACCTCAACCTCACAAATGATGGGCTTACAAGTGAGCACTATCAAGCCCAGCAGATGTAAGACTTTGAAGGGAGCTTAATTCAGGAACCTGACTGAAGCAAGCCAGGAGCCTGGTCAATAGAAGTCTGTTCAGTTACTGGAGATGTCCACTAGGTGGCACCTGAGTTCCACTCGAATGCCAGAGGTTGCAGGGCATCTCAGCTCTGCCGCACCCAGTCTGGGTTTTGGAGGCATCAGAGCAAGCTTCCCCTTGCACAATAGGTGATACAGAGGTGCTCTAACCTCAAGAACCACACCTGCTACTTTACACATGGGGAAACTGAGGCCAAGGACAGAATGTATCTTGACACTGATTGCAGATTGTGCCCAAGCCTTGTTTGCTCCTCTAATAAAAGCTGGAAGGTTTGCTTCTATTTCCTACACATCTGCTGAGTGTCTACTATGAGCCTCTGGCTGCACAGAACCTAGAAGGCCAGGAGTGGTCTGAGGCATGAGCAGAGGCTCACATCTTAGAGGTGTGACTTGTAGGTCCCCCTGAAAAAAAGGGTCTCTACAAGAAATTATTAGAATGGTCAGTGGTCAACCACATTGACTGCTCTGGGCTAGAGGTTCCCCCAAGTGGTAAAGGGGACAGAGAAGAGGGGTCTAGAGGCACAGGAACAGCAAGACAGAAGCCAGGATAAAGTGACAGCAACCAGAGGTGCTGTTGCAGTGGTTCTTCTGTGGTAGACGAGGGAACTCCCAGGTAAAGGAGGGTTAGCAGGGAGTGGCAGGAAGTGGCAGGTCTTGTGCCCACTCTGGCCATCCCAAGCAGAAGGACACTGCAGGGAGATAACCACCACCTCTTTAGAGCTTGAGTCTTTCTCAAGAGCTTATATATTTTGAAGTCCTTAAGAATTAAGAATTGCTGGTTTGAGCCAGTAGCTCATGCCTGGAATCCTATCTACTCAGGAGGCTGAGATATAAGGATTGCAGCTCAAAGCCAACCTGGGCAAGCAAAGTGCGTGAGACTCTTATCTCCAATTAACCACCAGGAAACCAGAAGTGGTGCCGTGGCTCAAGGTAGAGTGCTTGCCTTGAGCTGAA